AAAAAAAAAAAAAAAAAAAAAAAAAAAAAAAAAAAAGAAGCTGTCTATCTCAGCAGTCTACTGAGGTGGCCCATAGGTAATACGGCAATAGGGGGGAAGGCTACTTGGATTCTGAGAGACCCAAAATCTAAGGCTTTCACCCACTTTTTTTAAAGACTCAATTCAATAAATAAGTTTATCAGTCTTTACTACCTTTCAAAATAAATCTATTACTGCTTGCTAACTTCTGTTCTGATTTATGGTTTAAATAAGTGATCAGTAAGCCTTTTCTATAAAGAGTTGGAGAGTACTCTTAGCTTTGCAGGCCGTATGGTCCCTATTGCAACTAAACTCTACCATTGCAGCATGACAATAGCTCTAGACGATCTACAAATGAATGGGCAAGGATGTGTTCCAACGAAAACTTATTTGAAAAAAGAGGCTGTAAATTTGGCCCACAGGCCATAGTTTGCTGACCCCAGGTTGTAAAAACCTGAGCTAGTCAACTCAAGCATTTTTTTTTTCCTTTTTGTCTTTTTTTCGTGACCGGTAACGGGATCGCAACCCTCAGTTTCGCACCCATACCGCGACCGGCAACGGGATCACAACCCTCAGTGTCACACCCGTACCGCAACCGGCAACGGGATCGCAACCCTCAGTGTCACGCCAGTACTGCGACCAGTAACGGGATCGCAACCCTCAGTGTCGCACCCGTACCGCGACCGGCAACGGGATCACAACCCTCAGTGTCGCACCCGTACCGCGACCGGCAACGGGATCACAACCCTCAGTGTCGCGCCGGTACTGCGACCGGCAACAGGATCGCAACCCTCAGTGTCACACCCGCACCGCGCTCAACCAGTGAGCAGACCGGTTTCTATATGGGATCCGAACCCTTGGCGGGAGCGCAGCCGCACTCCCAAGCGCCGCACTCTACCGAGTGCACCACCGGGCCGGCCTGTCAACTCAAGCATTTTAATCTAAATATAATTTTGACTATAGGCCCAAATTTATTCCCTCATCTTCTCCAGCACTCCTCTTACCCAAAATAGCAGCCTATATGGATCAAGTTTTTGCACAACTTGAAAGGAATCAAAGAGAGTATAGTAGATAATATTAAATAACTTTATTTATAAAAATAATATTACCATTACCTGTATTAATTTTCAGGAAGAAGAACTGTAAACTAAATGCCATGATTTCAGTTATATCAAAATAACTAGCAAAAGAGAGTACTTTAAAAAAGAAAAAAAAAGTCTGTAAGAAATAAAGTTTATATTTTGGATCTGAAGAAAGTATAGAACTGCTTCCTAAAATAAGTTATTCCAGCACGTATAAGAATTTTAGTATTGGGGCCGGCCCGGTGGCGCACTGCTACAGTGCGCCGCTTGGGAAGTGCGGCGGCGCTCCCGCCGAGGGTTCGGATCCCACATACAGACCGGTTCCCGCTCACTGGCTGAGCGAGGCGCGGGAGCAGCGCCAAGGGTTGCGATCCCGTTGCCGGTCCCGGTCCGGTACGGGGGCGACACTGAGGGTTGCGATCCGTTGCCGGACACGGAAAAAGACAAAAAAAAAAAAAAAAGAATTTTAGTATTGGACTTAGAAGTTTGACATAATAGTTTATGATAAATCATTCCATTAAAGTAGATTTCAACCCTGGTATCCAAACCCAATATTTTAATTCTCATCTTTCTGCTCAGTCTCACTGCAGCAGGAAATACATGACCAGTCAACCTTCCTTGAAATTCCTTCTTTTCCTATATTTCACAGTACTATAATTTCCAAAAAATGTGCCTAATACTGTTTTTTGTATTAAACTACAAACAGCAACAGGAAACAAGCTGTGCTTACTTCAAGAGAAGTTAAGTGTTTTGTCTCATTAAATCACATATGTATAAACAAACTAATTAGCATTCTTCATCTTCTCAACTGATGAAATTACCCTACGAAGCAGATGCCCACAGTGCTGATACCCTGGAAACCTGCATTTGTTCTGTGTTTGCCTTCCAGGAATACAGAATACATTCTTCAACTAAATGAGTTGGAATTTTTATGTGTAACATTAGCAGTAACTTTAGAAATGCTTTGGTCAGTTGATGAATTCAGTACATAGCTGGTGGTAGAAACGGTAGTAACATGGTAAGGGGAAAACAAATTAAAATAATTAATGTGGTGACAAGGCCTGGCAAGCAGTAGGATAACATGTTCTCAGAAACTTGGAGAGGTAGTTCCCATCCTAAAAGTTGATGATTAAACAGCCTCCGAATATATTAAATGCTCTCTCCCTTTTACTAGTCAGTGATTAACTTTGCTGTGGTGAGAATGACCCAGCTACTGGCCTCGTATTAATAACCGGATGTATTATTGTTCAGGTAAGGGAGCTCTCCTTCATTTAAACTCTAGAGTTTAATTAAGCATGAACACCTTGTTTACTACATGTAACAAGTTCATGCAGACCCAAGAAAAACACCCCTTAGGTACTCTCTGACACGGAAAGCCTCTTTTACAAGAGCAAATTTCAAAATTAGAAATGGGAGTGGGGCAAGCCTAAGAATTAAGTCTCCATCGTAAAAGCAAATAGCTATTTCCAATGTCTAATATCAGACCTAGGACTTAGATATGTCAATATCTGTGAGGAAAGAGATATAAGTGTTCTAAGACCAAATTTGAAAATCCCTATTTTTAAGAGGTCGCCAAAAGGAGGACAGAATTTAAAAGCAAATTGCCTT